ATTTCTGTGAGCTGGATAAGAACTGCCCTTTATTTCCACTGCTTTTGCCTCTCTGACCTCTGCTGGAAACAGACGGGCAGGAGTGCGTGTGCAGGGAGCAGGAGCCTGCAGCCCACCACGAGGACATGCCAGAGCCCCTGGCAGAGCAGACTCTGTGGCAGGAAGCCCCTCCTCTGCCTGCACGAGGCTCAGCACTGGGCTCTGATTCACAGGTTCCTTCTTCCTGGCTCTCCACCCACTGGGGCAACTCCATCTTCCCAGGTGCTCATGGGTCCCAGGCCAGATTCTGACTCCCTGCAGTCCCAGTGGGCACCCAGTCTACCAGGTCCTGTCTGCTCTGCCAGGAGAGATGCCTACCTTCCTCCCAGCTTCCACCTCACCCAGGATCTGAGTCCACCCTTAGGTGCCACCAAGGAAAGCCTCCAAATTAGACCAGGACATCATTCCTCTGCTCAACTCCTGGCAGTCAGTACCCTTACATTCCAACTAAAAACCCAAACAGCCTTACAAGTAAGCCCCCCCAGACCCTGGACTGAGCCTATCCCGCTACAATGACAAGAGTCCACAGCCTGGACTACTGTGAACAACAGAATCCACTGCCCTCCTTTCTGCAGGCTGCAGAGGTGTAAGACCACGGTGGGCAGAGGTGGGCAGCTCCTCAGCCTCTCCTGAGGACACTGATCCTGCTCATAAGCTTTCTTCACCTTTGGGCTTAATCACCCCCCAAACCCTACCTCTTAAGAGCATTGCCCTGGGGATTAGGTATCAAYGTGTGAATTTCAGGGTTCAGACATTCACATGCAGGTGCCCTATCCCTCTGCCCGCCACCTATGCCTCCAGCTTCTCCCATCTCCCTGACGTGGAACTCTCCCCTCCAGCCACAGGCTGGTCACTCCTGAGCACAATGAGCAAGCCCCAAGCCTCCATAGCCTTCGCAGTGTGACTCCGCTGACTGGAATAYGTCTTCCCTGAGCCTTGCTCTTCTAAAAGCTCACCTTCAACATGCAGTCCACAGCTATTCCAAACTGGGGTCACCATGCTCAACCCCTCATGCTAGCGATCACCAGCATTTTACATTTCTTGCTGCTCGGCACCTTCCTATGTAGCTAGCTGATCTCGTTTCTTGTTGCCTCTCTGCTCAATCCTCTTAGGACATAAGGCAAATCCCAGCACCTAGCACAACACATGGCACAGGCTAAGTACTTGCAGACAATTACTGAACGAAGCTCAGGAGGTAAGGAGAAATCTCCAACAGACCTTCTCAAAGTCAGAGCTGCCAGGATGAGCAGGCACTCAGGCGCAGGCACAGGGCCGTCAGCATCGCCCAACAGCTGGGCCTTGGGCTCCACTAAGGAGGCAGCGGTGTAGACACCTGCTCTGTGGCAACACCACAGGAGGGACTCAGGGCTCAAGCAACCTGCCCACCCAAGCATGGGAGGTTGGTGGGAGTGGGCACTAGCTGACAGTGCAGGAGGCCAGTGTAGGCATGGTCACAGCAGAATAGGATGGCAAGAATACCAGTGGGCTGACAAGCTGGACCCATATCCCACACAGACCTCACAACCCCACAACTGAGGCTCCCTCTGACACGGCTTCCTGCCACACAACACCCTGCCCAACCACTCCACCACTACGCRTCCACAGCTTCCTCACCCGAGATCATATTCCACGCAGAAAGTACCCACCGTTACTATGAACCTCACACACCACGTGTAAAATACCACGAGCACCCAAAACACAGGAGGCACTCAACAAACATGAGCTAATCATAATAATGCTATCTTCAATGCATAATGATTTTAACAGTAGACCCAAAGATTTGAAAAAAGAGCTGTATTATATTTTGTCTCATTTTTCTATCTTTCTCCATTTCCTTAAATCTCAAACTTAACTATAGCTTTATTTCTATATTCAACAAAGTGTCAATTTCTTGATATTAAAATGTGTAAGCAGTTCTCAGTAGATATAAGCAATTTTGTTCATGGAACTATCTCACTTTAAGAAAATTTAACATATGCAAGACCCTAACTTACAAAATGAAAGTCTGGGAAAGCTTCACTTCATTCTGTTTATTATTTCAAATCAAGGTTCACAAGATTCTTGGACTAGGGAGAAAGAGATAGTGACTGAAACGTCAGAAGCTAATACATCAGAAAGACAGTGCTGGCCCTGCTTGCCACGGCCCCATGTCCTGGCCATGCAGCACTCCTCTCTCATCCYTGGAGCCACAGTACACCTATCTTGAGATCTTGTACTTACGGTCCTCACTCTGCCGCAACATGGGGTAAATCTCTGACAAAGGACACACAGAGTTCAGAGGCGAGCAGGAGAGGTAACGTGCCCTCTGCAACAGGGGCAGCAGAATCCCACAACAGCCGGGGTAGAAGAGGAAAGACCCTTTTACCTTCAAAAGCTCAATGTAATTGGGAAGGTTGAGAAGAGCCAGAGATGAGACTTAGAGAAGGAGGGATTCTTACTCAGGACTAATTCCATTGTCTTATTAATACCTGAATTTCTAGTGCCTCCCTCTGTGCCTAGCACACCACAGTGGGTTGCTAGATGTTCATTCCATAAACTGCTAGCCTGGAAAATCACAGCAGATAAGAAATAACTTCCAAAGGAACAATATTCTTAAAAGTTCCTTTTTTTTTTCTTTGCAGGTCAAATGTATAAATTAGAAGACTAATGTAATTATTTTCATATTATGACATCCCAGATAACTATTTTGTTCATTAAAGCAAAGATAGAGAAATGTGATTTGTGTTGCAATAAAGCCTTGCTTTCTGCTGAATTACAAGTATGAAGCAACTTTTCTGAAATTCCATATAGAACAAAGATTCTTCAACCTCAGGCCAAAGCTTATAGCCTTTGCTCCTGTCACAGACACTGTGTGGTCCAAGAAGGCCTCCTCTGAACAATGTTTCTAAATGCATAAAGTAAGATTCATAGGGTTTTTTTAAAAAAAAAAAAAGGACAATTCATCAGATCACACATAAAAACAAATATATCAAAATTTGATTCTGACCAATGACCACAGTTGTAATCATGGGCAAACTGATAAATGATTTGAATTAAATGGAAAAAGTGCAAATACTTTTTGCCTACACATTCCGTGTATGTAGGATGTTAGTATTCCTATTATTAATAGAGCCTGTGACAGCTTGCCAAAGTCAGGACATTTAAGTAGCCCTAAAGGTTTTAAATGTGGAAAAGCTGCAGGCATCTCTTGTTCCTATTATGTGCATATACTAAAATCATTTCTAAAATCACTTTATCAGTACCAAATTAATAACGGTAAATTAATGCTGCATTTGTATTACCACTAACATCTATACTGCTCCTCAAAGATGATGTCCATCCACCGTATCTAACTTCCTTCCTGAAAGCAGGGCTCACAAACAGGAGCGCCAACCCAGCTGCAGCGTGCTCCGGCTGCAACTCGGAGCTGCCCAGCTTTCCCTAAGTCTATAATTAAGCAGCACCTTCAGTTAAAGCTGTCCAGCCACAGTATCTGGTAGGTATTTTAGTAGCTAAATATCTTTGTAGGATAGCTTAACCCACTACTCTAAAGAAAAATATATTTGGGGGAAGCTGAGTTAAAGGGATGCTTCCCCTATTTCAGAAGGTTCCAAGAAGTCCCAGCAGGAAAGTGACTCTGATCTTGGCTTCTTAAAAACAGATAAAAAGTGTTTTTGTTTTTGTTGTTATTGTTGTTGTTTGGTACCCAGGAATTTAACCCAGGGGCATTTAACCACTGAGCCCATTCTTAGCCTTTTCTTTTTTCTTTTTTCAACTTTAGAGACAGGATCTCACTGAGTAGCTAAGTTGCTGAGACTGGCTTTGAACTTGAGATCCTGCTGCCTCAGCCTACCAAGCCACTGGGATTACAGGTGTACAGCACTGCACCCAGCTAAAAAGTTCTTTGCAAATGTGTCTTCCTGAAACAAACTTCTAAGCTGTGGGTACCAAAACTGTATTTCTTGAACACATACAGTGTAACATTTGAAACCAAACCATGTGAAAAATCCTGAGTCACAGTACATGCTGAAATCTTAAGAGTACTATGACTTTTATGGAAAAGAATAAACTAGGTAGAAAAGTGTGATACCATTAAAAGAGGAATTTTTTAAAAACTATTTTTTGCATCTTTCAGGGAAATAAACAATTTTTTAAGAGAATACATAGGGAGAAGGAAAGACCTGTTCCTGGTCTCTTCTTTTTTGCACTTGTAGAACTACCAACTCCCAGTTAGTGTGACTCATGAACTTTTAAATCACCTTCACAGCTTATGACCAGTAATGACAAACCTCGACAGATTGTTTTAAAACAGCTCATTTCAAAAGCCTCTAAAATATTACACAAAAATCTTGTTTTTCAGACTAAGTCCTACCTACAGTGAATCTATTTGAAGTTCTGACAACAGCAGATAAAGCCTGTTACTTGCAGAGTAAGTGTGGCTCACTTTTCCCTTCTACTTTCTGGGTAGCCTACACCATCATCCTGGAATGGAAGAGGGCAAAAAATAAACCCGAGTAAGTAAGCATCAGTTTAGTGAAGCAGAAGTTCACCTCAATCGGAATGGTCAGCACGGTCACTCCTTTTCAACAGTGGAAACCAGCACGGCTTCTAAAAAGGACGGCCAGACAGACCGCCGTCTCAACTTCCTAAACCGCACGACGCCGACTGCGGGGTGGCCCTGAAATCCCGGGGGCCGCGGAACCTCGCCCACGGCGCGGGAGCCGCCCTGGCCGCCGCGGAACTGCCCGCCCGCGAGGCCGCCGCACCTGTGGCGAGGCCGCCGCACCGGTGCGCAGGTGAGCGCCGCCGGCCGCCGGCGGGAGGAGGCTGCGGCCGGACGGGGCTGGACCCGACCCGCCGGCGGGAGGCCGGGGAGGCCGCGGGAGCGGAGGACGGTCGGGAGGGAGGGCGAGGTGCGGGCCGGGCCCGGCCAGAGCAGCGTCCCGCCSGCCCGGGTCTCTCCGGCGCGTCCCGAGACCTACCGTGAGCGCCGCGCTCCCGCCAGGAGGTGCGGCGCAGGTGGAGCGTGGCCGCGGTCCCGCAGAGCCGCCGCCGCGCGGAGCCCACCCCACCGCACCAGCCGCTCGGCCKCCCGGAGTTCCCGGAGTTCCCGGAGCCGCCCCGCGCCGCCCGCCGGGCCTGCGCACGCGCTGAAGCACCGCCCGCCGCTGAGGCGACACCTGCGCCCACAGGTCCCGGCGCCGGCCCCGCCCGCCGGGCTCGCCCCACCCCTCGGCGCCCCGCCCCTCACGCTCGCCCCGCCCCGCCCTCGTGATGTTCCCAGCGTCCGCCTCGCCGCGCCGCCCCGCCCACCCACGTCGCCCCGCCCACCCACGTCGCCCCGCCCGCGCCCTGTCCCGGACCTCTGCAGCGCCGCGTGGCCCCGCCTCCAAGCTCCCCACGCCTACCTAGTCGCTCCGCCCCTCGCCCTGGCACGCCCACGCCGGGTTCCTGGCGTCCGGACTGGGCGCGGTGGGATGAGGCCACCTGAAGGCGGCGGGCCTCCCGGAGCTGGACTCCGAAGGAGACCACTGTGGGGGCACCTCCCATGTCCTGAGCTGTTACAGCCCTGGGGGGAGGACCTGCTCTGCTGTCCTTCCAGCCGCCTAGGGTGACTTGCCCTGTCCTGGAGCTGTGACATCTGTCGAGGGACTTCCCCTGCGTTTGGAAGCGTGCGTTCTCTGCTTCCCTAATGCTTGTCCTCCTGCTCCATAGCCCCTGCTTGTGGCGTCCATTTCCACGTGACCCTAGCCCCAGTACTACATGCTGAAGCTGCTTTCTACTGCCCCTTAGGTCTGCTTGGGCACTCTTCTCCCTCTAGGACCTCCTCTGCCCTTGTCCTGTGCATGCAGGACTCCCAGTGTCCATTTCAGGCCACACCCTCTAGGCAACAGTGTCTTTATTTGGTGTCCCAGAACGCCCTGGGCGTTTTCACCACGACTTCTTGCTGATGACACCTGTCCAGCATCTTCAGCCCAAAGTCCATTCCCGGTTTCAAGTAATGGCACCCTGATGCCCAAGTCAGAAATCCACCAGTGCCCGTTACATCTTCATCCCTCTATGCTGATAGCAAGTGTTATTGACTCATCTCCCCAAGTGGCTCACATCCGCCCCTCTTTCCCATCTCCACTCAGTGTTTCCATCTTTCAACTATCATTTCCTCTGACTCATCCCTTGGATTGTTGGAATAGTCACACTGTGTCCTACAGTTAAGCCCCTCTTCACTGCAACCAACATTCCCCTCATGGTTTTTCTACCATAAAAAAAATAGGATCATGATGCTCCTCTGCCCAGAGCTTTTACTGACCGCCCATCACCGGTAGGGCTCTTCATGGTCTGGCCCCAGGCTGCCGACTTCATCTGCCCTTCTTCCCCCTGGACTCCACACTAAGCATTCCATCCTACAGGTTCTCTCAGTTCCTTGAGTCTCAGTTGAATGCTTACCTCCTCCGTGGGTCCTTTCAGAACTTGTCCTTCCTTTACCCSTTTGGGACTTACTTCTCTTGTAATAGTCACACTGTACTAGAATCATTTTTATGTGTGCCTGACAGCAATCGCCACTTCTACTCTTGAGAAATAATATGAACTGTGGGTAATAAAGCCTTTCACAACCTGCCTTCCTCATTGAGATTACAGACACATACCTTCAGGTTTCCTGGATGAACAATTTGGCTAAATCCTGACTATACACTTTTTTTTAATATTTATTTTTTAGTTCTCGGCGGACACAACATATTTGTTTGTATGTGGTGCTGAGGATCGAACCCGGGTCGCACGCATGCCAGGCGAGCGCGCTACCGCTTGAGCCACATCCCCAGCCCCTGACTATACACTTTTTTCATCATATAGTTTCAAACTTTCTACCAGTTCTCTGCAATTTAGGCATATAGAGGGTAAAGTCTGAAGCAGATGAAAAGATGGGACATTGACATTGTGCTGCTAACTAGATCACAGTTGCTCCCAGAAAGATCACATTGTAGATGTAAAATGTATCACCTCTCAGAGTTACTGTCAGTCCTTGAGGGACATGCCTGGGGGTTGATTCAGTAACTCCTGACTGGGTGGATCCACATATATAAAGAGCAATCTTTGTACTCCGTGCAAGCAGAGGTATGAAAGGGAGTCCACCTCTTGGAGTGCCAAGAACATTCCAGTGTGCTCAGCTGCCATCCARCAGAGTTCATGAACCAGCACTGATGTGCCCCAGGCCTCGTAGTGCTACTCTGGATTGATGACAACTCAGACTTTGGGAAGCATGTTGCCCTGTGGCTAGACCCAGCCTCCCACTAACGACCATTCTGAAGAGCTGTAACCCGTGATTTCAAGAGCCAGGCAACAGTGGAAGGTGTGGCAAGCCCTGACTGAGCCGGGTGGGGCCGAGTGGTATACAGCAGGGAGAAGCAGTGGCTGAAGGGCCAACTTGGGATTAGACACCAGGCAAAGTCCTTTCTTCACAGATGTATTAGTGAGGAGGCCAGGGAGTATTTCCTGACCAAGCCTCGTTTTAACTTGCTGTCCTAGGGCACAGCCCAGTGCCTGGCACAGAGGCTTAACACAGGTGTCTGTGTGGGGAGAGGGGAAAGGTGGAAGTTCYCTTGACTCTGAGAGTTCTGTGTGCCCAGAGTTGCTGCAGAGGACTTCTGCGGACGCTCCAGCTTTGCAGATTAGAAGCAGGTGTCTTTGAAGGCAGCCAGGAAGAGATGTGATTGGAAGAGCCAGGCTTGGGGAAGAGGTCAAGGGGCCAGGGCAAGGAGGAGGAGGAGGCCTTGTGGAGTCAGGGCGTGATCCGTGTGGAGGTAGATGCCGGGAAGCAGAGGGACACCTGAGGCAAGCGAGGCGCCTTCATGCTGGGATGCCCCTGCCAGGGCACCATGGCCACAGCTGCCCTCCTGGGCACAGCACCTCACTCTTCCTGATGTCCTCCTCTCTGGCCGTCCTCCCCCTCCTGGCCTGCTCTGGTCAAGCCTGGACTTTCAATCTACTTCAGACATGACCATGACGTGCCAATCTGAACCTCCTGATCCTCGTGGTTTTAAATCCTGCTCTCACAGCAAAGTGGTCTCAAGGGTGGACGTGTCACTCCCACCTGAAACCGCTCATGAGGTCACCTGAGTTAGGAATGAAATCCAGAATTGCTTCCAGGCCAGCAGTGCCTGAGGGTCTGCCCTTCCTGAGCACCGCGTGCTGAGTGCCGTGTGTCCTCCTCCCTGCGTCCTTGAGTAGCCCTCAGCCGGCCATCTCCTCTCCTACGGGAACATTTTCAGTTGTTGTGCTGGAAGTCAGGGTGCTGCCAAGCAGCCTACAGCAGACAAGGCACCTTCCTCAGCCACGCGGCCCTGGGACAGCCCCCGCTCAACGTCAGCTTCTCAGGAAAGCCTCCTGGTCCTGGAACCCCGTGGGCTCTGCCAGGCCGCAGCCATGACCTGTGACCGCCTGGCCACTGTTCGCTCTCTCTGGGAAGATGGCTCCTGGAGGACCTGCTCTCCTGGTCATCATCCATCTGACAGTGCTGCCGGGSGACGTGCCATTCACCTGTGACATCGACTCCAGTGGCACATGTAGCCCTTGGTGCCTTCTTCAACCTGTCAATTAATATCTACCACCGGTTTCTGAAGGGAAGCTTGCTGATAACACTGTCTTTCATTTTTTTCTGTAAAATCAAAATACCCAGTTACCAGGAGAGCAGAGTGAGGACCTGCAGGGCTGCTGTGACCAGCAGCACCCTGGGGCAGCTGCAGCTYCCCTGGGCCCCGCGTGCCCTTCCATGCTGGCCCTGGCTCCTCACAGCAGAAACCACAGGTGGAGGTACAGGGTGACCAGGATCTGTCCAGGAGGTGAGAAAAATTGGGCAGGAAGAAAAGGAAGGAGAACAGGATTCAAAAATTAAATCATGATGTAGTTTTCATGGGCACATCAAATAATCTGTTTCTTGAATATATTTGGAAGTATCTGGTGAACATACCGATGCTTCAGTTCTTTCAACTAAGAAAATCTCTACTGTGGACATACACCGTGTTGTCTTTCCTGCTGTAGTGACAGACCACCCTKCTACTCACAGCTGTGACCCACGGGGGCATCTCTCCCTCTTCTGGGTACTGGGACTGGCACACAGCTGCCTCTGGTAATGGGCCTCCTTGACAGAGGTTTCCAAGTCAGAGCCTTTAGGAAAGSCACCTTTTCTCTTGGACCATGAGCACAGTGGGTGTGAGCCCAGAGCTGCTGTCAGTGTGCGTTGCCAGGCGGAGCAGCTGGCCTCCAAGAACAGGCAGAGGTGGGTGGGAAGGAGACGGGAGTCCTGAGGTCGTCTGGCCTTCTGTGGGGAGCTGCCTGGTCTCCTGAAAGCCCTGCTGCACGGCACCTTGTTAAACATCGACGAAGGTCAAACTCATCTGAACCAGCTCCAGCTTGACTGAGTCCCACTGGCCGGGCGTCCCAGTCCTGAGCCTCTGCCACCGGTAGCCAGCTGTGGCAGAACCAGAGKCCTCTGCAGTGCTTGCTGGTGGTCKACTCGGACCACTTCCCACCCCTGTGTCATTGGAGTTTGAAATGTCCTAGTTTTCTTGTCTATGAAAGTGGGATGAGAAGTAGCTCTTAGGTACGATGCCCCTCGGTGGTGCTCCAGATGGAAGCAGCTGCATGGGCAAAGTGCTCTTGTCACGGTCATCCGTCCTGTGTCACCGATAACAGCGTGGTGCTGTAGGAAGCMATGTGCAGCTTACCTGCTGAGTGGGTGCAGGGAGCTGGGCCTCGTGGGGTGCAGACTCCCATTCTCTGGGGGATCGGCCCCATGACCCGCTTCCAGTCTCTGTCCCAAGAGGACCGTCCAGCTAGGCAGACCTGAAGCTCTTCAGCACAGCCCACGACTTCCGTTGAAGACTTCTCTAACTAACTGGTAAGAAATTTTCATCATCTTTGCAGCAACAGAACCGTATATTCTCTTTCCACCAGACACTACTTAACATCAAAAATATATTTTGTGGTTTTTAAAAAATATTTTTTTAGTTGTGGTTGACMCAATACCTTTATTTACTTATTATTTTTTATGTGGTGCTGAGGATCGAACCCAGAGCCTTGCACCTGCTAGGCGAGCAC